CATCTAATATGTGTTCAATTACAAGAATCTCAACATCTCCTTCTCACACAATGAATATGTCATATGTGTTCAAATAAACTCAACATCTAATATTTCAAATAAAATCAACATCTAATATATATCTAAAAAACAGATCATATATCTCTACAAAACTCAACATCTCATTGTTATCTATATAAATAAGCATCTCATATATAGGGAAAATCCATCCTACCACCTGGTGGTAGTTATAACAATCTAGGGTTTCACTAACAAGAACTATATATTGTGAACTAAGCAACAACACTACGGTACTACCACTATGACTACACATCCTAAATCAAGCAAATCAAGGGTTCCATCAAATCTTGGACAAATCTCTAAAATGGCAACAAATTTACGGAGGAAAAGAAAGGGAATGGAGGAGTTTACCTAGTAGGATGGATTGGAGATCGAATCCACGGATCAAATCTTCAGATCTGAGAGGGATGTGGGAGGGGGGGGATTCGATTGGGGCGCCGCCGCTGCTCTCTGTCCAGAGAGCGGAGAGGGGGAAGAACTGCCTGGCCGGGCTGGGCCGATGCGCTTTAACTCACTGTGCAGCGCCCAAGAGCTAGGCGCTGCACATTACAAGTGTGGCGCCTAAGTCTGAGGCACTGCAGTGCTGTCTGTGAGGCCGCAACCTGACCAGGACTGCCACGCTGGCACGAGGTGCGACGCCCAAGAGAGAGGCGCTGCATAGTAGTGTGTGGCGCCCAGCTGTCGGGCGCCACACAAAAGGGTCAGCAAAGTGAATTTTTTTCGAAACGAGGTCAGTTTGTGATTTGATTTGGACCTCAGGTCAAATATGTGATTTCTGCCTTTCTGTGAAGGGCATGTCACGTGTCGCTGTCTCGGTGAAGCGGCCGCGATACGGCGGAGCCGGAGCCGGAGCGTGACGGGACAAAGATTTGGGCGCGTGCAAAAGTTGTAGCCCGTACGCCGTAGCCACTTCACTAGACAGGCCACACCCCGCAGCCCCCCCTTTATCTTCATGTACCGCCTCTTTTTGTGACTGAATGCTGTGCTGGATCCCGGCCTCTTCCCTTTTTGTCTGTATTTACTAAAAGCTGGATCTGAGATTGATCATGCTACGGCCTACGGGTAGGGCACGGCGGAGTCGAAAGATGATGATAATGAGGAGCAGAGTAGGTAGCACCAAGATCACCGATATATCTGCATCTGCATGATCGTCTATAGCTCTTGTTGATATGGAGTCTGGTACTCGCTAAGTAGTAGAGCTCACAGTTTGTCCCGGGGCCTTGGCTTTGGAATTGGCGAGAATTTGGTGGCCGGGGCTTGATGATGGAAATTTTAAAAGGTTCTGTGGACGCACCAGTCCAGAGTTGATCCTTTTTTCAGTGTGCGCTGCTTGCTTTGCCCTGCTTTAAATAAGCAAGAAGAAACTTGAACCATTTGGTGGATGCTTGAGGCCTAAACTTGGAATTTCCCACGGCGGTGTGCAGGCCAGCAGGAGCAACCACATCCAGATGCCTGCAAAGCTGGTGTGTCCACTGCATGCGACCACGTATCTAGGACAGATCTCGGCCCGTCCCAAATCGGGAAGGAACCCCGTGTCCCGCGTTTTCATTGCCCGACGGCGCCGCGACGTGATCGGCTCAGGTCATCTCGTCGGCGCCTCCGCGGCACCAACTTTGGCACATGGGCCGGGGTAGCAACACTGGCCACTGCCGCACCCGCACATGGGTAGGGCAAATACATATACGAGTACAGCGAACCAACGGCAACGCGAGCTGCATCCCGTCGAGAGTCGAGACGACGACGATGATGAGTACGTACGCAAAGTGGGCACTTGAGAGTGATCGCTCTCCTCGGATCCCATCATGTAACAGAAACACTAATGAAATCATCGCTATTGGTAGCAGCAAAAACACTTTACCTGGTATGTGCATGAGCACATGTACATGGCCCATGCATTTCTACATCATCATCATCATAATTGAAACAATGTTTTTCTGACGCACATGCTTGATAATCATTTCAAAACCACAATATATGAAATTTGATATGAAATTCAAATTCAAATTAAAAGATAACAACTGTTCGGATCATTCGAAGTACAACATAATAAAAACAAGTTTATTTACCATGAAGTTGTTCATGACCCGCGCGGGTTTTGACCCGTCGATGCATTTAAAGAAATTTCTAAAGTCATTGGGCATCCCTCTTTTGCTCAACATGTGGTATGTAAATTTTGTCCCCCTTGTTCTCATATAGATATAGTCCGGCATTGTTCTTGCTTGTCCTCTAAAATCATGTTATGCAAGATCACCCACGCGGTCATGATGCACCATAGATCCTTTTCATGCCAAGATCGTGCAGGACCACGAAAAATGGCAAAGCGACCTTGTAAAACCGCAAATGCACACTAACATCCTTTCTACGTGCTGCTTGACGCCTCGCAACATGATAGTAGCCCAAGTTGTGTTGACGCCTACTGACATCGAAATTCACTGGTGGTGCCTCTCCAACAGAAAGCCTAGATGAGATCTTTGAAAAACATTCAAGCCACTGTGAGATAATGGCAATACAAAATATGAATGCTAAATCCAAATGTCATGTGATGCCACAACTTCTAGAATTATGGTTGCATCTTTACCTTTCCCTTAGAATTGTCCACGAAATGTTGTAGGATAATCCTCCACTTTAAATGCATGCAATCGATTCATTTCCCTAGGTGAGTTTTTTTTTTGCATTTTTCATGTCATTTTTTTTTGTCAATTGTGTCGAACCGAGTCATTTCTACTCAAGAAGAAGAGGGCGAGGGGGATGATCTTCGAGGCCTCTTTGTCGTCAGATGAGGAAGACAATGATGACGAGTTTGAAATAGCCATCGGCATGATCTTTAACGAGGATTTTCGGCGGCAGAGGAGATGATCACACTTGGGCTGAAATACACATGAACCGAGATAGAGCGGAGGGTCATGGCGAGATTATGAGAGACTATTTCGACCCCAATCCAACATAACTGAAGAGAATTTTCGCCCGTGATTTTGGATGCACACAAGTCTCTTTCTGATGATTGGTTCAAACTCAGGGAAGAGTGCATCCGGGGAGATAAGTGCGAACCCTTTGACGAAGTATATCGCGGATGTGCGAGTGCAGCAGTGGCATGTCCATAGTACGTACTACCTCCGTCTAGGTGAATAAGTCATTCGCGTAGTTCTAGGTCATTGATTTGAGCAATTAAATATGTGTTATATGTTATGAAAAGTACATCACTAGATTTCTACAAGGATGTAGTTTTTAAATATATGTTTTTTATCACATATAATACATATTTAGATAGTTAAATCGTCAACCTAAAACCACGCGAATGACGCGAATGACTTATTCACTAAGACGGAGGTAGTACTTCATACTTATGATTTTATCATGGTGAACCCTTGGGTGGGCTTGAGTTTGAATCCACTGCAAGTGGGTGCGGGCTGCCGGGGCCACCAGCCACCCCTAAATTAGCGCCGCCACTGCAAGTGAGGTGTGCAACCTGGAAAAAAGACAAGGTGGACGGCCCCGGCATCATTCGCAGTGCCAAGGAATCGTGCCACCCTGTCACGAGACGACCCACTGACACTGAGCCCATCAGCCAGACAAATCCACACCGAAAAATGAAATGCTTCCAAAAGAGCGCCACCGTCTTCTCGTACGAACCACAAGTTCCGTCGGGGCGAACGATACGACGACATGGTTCGACGATCGAGCGTACTACTACTACTACTACTACGCGTGTGCCGATCGAGGGAGAGAGACCGACCACCGGCCAATCAACCGAGGACTCGTGCCAGTCGTCGCGCCGCAGAGCACCAGCGCATAACATATTCATTTTTAACCGTCCGTCGCATTACAGATTACAAATTGCCACCCCTTGTCAGACGTAATTTAAGCAAAATATTTGGCTCGTGCAGTGCAGTGATGCCACGGATCCGGAGGAGCAGATCTCCGCGACAGCAACGAAGAATAAAATAAAAGATCTCAGGAACAAGAACAAAACGTACTCGTGTACTACCTATACACGAATGAAAATATAAAAGAATATTTTTTTCCTAGAACTGGGTACGTACGGATAAAGAAATGCAGTTCGAATACAGCTCATCCTGGAGTGTCACTCCATCGGCGTTGACGGGCCCACCCATGTGGCCCGCGTGGGCAGGCCCAGCCACCGACCAATCGGCGACATTTCGGCCCCACCCCCAGCGACCAAGCGCGCGCCAAAGCCCAGCTGGCGGCCACCCTCGCGCGCTTCGATGCATCGCGCGTCCCTCCAAAGCTTATCCCCATTGCTCCACAGCGACGGCGCCGGAATCGGAACCTCCCCCCGATGGTTCCGCCGCGAATTTTCCGGGCCGCCGCCACCCCCTCCGCGCGCTTTCTCCGGGGGTCGGTGGGGTGGGGGGAGCGGTAATCGGAACTGCAAGCAACAAATCGCCCGATTTTTTGAAATTTAAACGGGGGATCGGATAAGCCAGTTCGTAGCTTCCGTTACTAGTTAGACTAGATTAGAAGAACCGGGTCAGCGAGATTACATACATTAATTAAAATTTTGAAAAAAGTTTTGGTAGTAGATGGGGAGGGGAAAAGAAGAAACTAATCAAGAGCCACTTTGTCTTTACAGATTGAACAAGGGGAGAAAAAATTTATAAGAAAATAAACAATGAGAAAAGGTTTCGCTCCATTGCTTTCTTCGTCGGCACTCGGCGCAAGGGAATGAAAGAATTCGATCCGGGATTGATTTTCTTTTTCTTGATCGGAGAACACCATAAAACGTAGCATTTCCCCAAAAAGAATCGAGACAAGAATGCTGTTAATGTTCGGCGACGATCCATCCATCCATCATCCATGGGACTAAAAATGTTTGATCCGGGAGTGGTCGGAGAAGGAGATCCAAATAAAGAATCAGCAGGGGTTGGGGGAGGAGGAGGAGGAGAAGAATTCGGGCGGCGCGGCGGGGCGCAGGCCGGCGGTCACAAGTTCTTGGATCCCCGGGTGTAGCCGTAGTAGGAGAGGTACCACTTGACGAACTTCTTGAGGCCGGCGTCGAGGTTGGTGGCGGGCTTGTACCCGAGCTGCTGCCGGGCGAGCGAGATGTTGGCGTGGGTGAAGGGCACGTCGCCGTTGCCGGGCATCTCCACCACGTGCTTCCTCGCCTTCACCCGGAGGTGCTTCTCCAGGATGGCCACCAGGGTGGGCACCGTCACGGGGGAGGTGTTGCCCAGGTTGAAGATCCGGTACGGCGCCGGCCCGCGCTTCTTGCCGCCGGTGCCCGTGCTCCTGCCGGCCGTGTCCAGCGACCCCAGGCAGCCCTTGACGATGTCGTCGATGTAGGTGAAGTCGCGGGCGAGGTCCACGTGGTTCTTGCCCCGGTACACCGTGATGGGCTTCCCCTGCAGGATGTTGCGGGTGAAGGAGAAGTAGGCCATGTCCGGCCGCCCCCAGGGCCCGTACACCGTGAAGAAGCGCAGGCCGGTGATGGACAGCCCGTAGATGTGGTTGTACGAGTGCGTGATCTCCTCGCCGGCCTTCTTGGTGGCCGCGTAGAGCGACGCCGGCTGGTCCGTGCGGTGCGACTCGGAGAAGGGCACCATGTCGTTGAGGCCGTAGACCGAGGAGGAGGAGGCCCAAACGATGGCTGGCTGCGGGTCGGCGTTCTTGCAGGCCTCCAGGAGGGTGACGAGCCCCGCCACGTTGGAGTGCACGTACGAGGCCGGGTTCTCCATGGCGTAGCGCACGCCGGCCTGGGCCGCCAGGTGGAGCACGTGCGTGAAGGGCACGACGTCGAAGAGCTTGGCGAGGAGGCGGCCGTCGTTGATGTCGCCCTCGACGACGAACACGCCGTGGGAGGTCAGCAGCGCCTTGCGGGCCTTCTTGAGCGAGGGGTCGTAGTAGGCGTTGAAGTTGTCGATGCCGACGACGCCGTCCCCGCGCTTGCGGAGCGCGAGCGAGCAGTGCGCGCCGACGAACCCGGACGCCCCCGTGACGAGCACCGACATCCCGGCCCCGGCGGCCGAGCCCGGCGGCCTGCGCGGCGCGGCGGAGGCGCGGATCTGGCGCTCCCAGTGCAGGCCGCCCCAGGAGGCGGCGAAGTACTTGGAGGAGGTGTCGACGAAGGACTGGAAGCTGAGGTAGGAGGCGGTCATGGCGACGAGGAAGAGCGCCCAGAGGAACATGGTACTAGTCGAAGCGAAGCAGCGGTGCAGCTGGCGGTTCATCGTGCCGCCCGCCCGCTCGATCTTCACCTTGCCGGGGGTCGACGGGAAGAGGTCGTCCTCCAGCGCCCGCATCTTCTTGCAGCACGCCGTCGTCGTGCTGCTGCCCGCCCGCCCGCCCGCCGCGGCAAGGAAGCCAACCAATCAAGAAGATACCAGGAATCCCTCACACCCCCTTGCTCCTCCTCCTTGTCCCGGACGACGACGCAACCACGGACGGATGGAGGATCGATCAAGCAAGCAAGCAAGCAGGCGCAAATCGGCGCGGTGCCTTCCGTCGGACGGGCGCACTCCTGGCGCGCGCGTGCGTGTCCCGTCGGGAAATCCGGGGCGGACGGAAGGAATTTGCGCGAGCGAATTTTATTGGGAAGAAAGGGAAAGGGGGAGGGGCAGGGGCTGGGTGCGCGCCTGCCTAGGGGAGGAGGGCGGGGAGGGGCGGGTATAAATAGGGGAAAGCGACGGGGGTGGAGGGAGGAGCTGCCGGCGGCGGTGGCCGGTAGGGGAGGGGAGGATTGCGCGGCTATTTTTGGGGTCGGCCGCGGCGGAGGATGTTGGGGGATTCGATCGATTCTTTCTTTCACGGGGACGGGGCGGGCGGGCGTCGGCGGGTGAGCAGTGGTTTAGTTTCCGGCGGTATTTATCCTGGCGCGGTCACGCGGGTTTATTATTACTCGTCGCTCGTCACGGGCTGGGTTTCCGCGTGGCCGCGGCCAGGGCTGTTTTCACTTTTTACGCGTCGGCGTGTGAATGCGATGCCGCTCTGTCCGTCGCATTCATTGGCGAGGAACGGGTGGATTTTCTGCCGCGTGACTTGCGTGAATTGGTGTTTGGTTTGACTGCTGCTGACTGATCCTCGGGCCGGATTGGTGCGTTTCTTCGGGCCTCGAGCGTGATGCCGTATCGAACTTTTTTACCATGATGAGTATACGAGGGCTCAAATTCGTAATCTGAGATATGAGATAGTATCAAAGATAGACCATGCAAGGTGCTTTATAAATTCTAAACGCTCTTATAACTATATTTATATCTATATACCAATATAAAAAGATCAAAAGAGGCAGATCCAATTAATCTCGATCATCAAATCATATCAATCCAACGACTTAGACTGCTTCAATGTCGAGCGCTCAACACGTTTAGCGTATAGTCAATTTCATGCCAAACATAGTGCTAATCATATAATAACACGCAAATAATATCCTATTTAATATCCGCATGCACTTAATATACTTCCAAATTAACGTGCATTGCACGTACACATTGACTAGATATTTACAACGGGAGTATGTGTTTATGTATTGAACGCTGCCACGGATCCATCAACAACGTTTTTGTAGACAATGAGTAAAAATTGTTGCAATGGTCACGCAAGCAAAGAATCCAAGACCTTGGAGGTCCAAGTGAATTAGGAAAGGAAAAGGACATTGTATGATGATGTTATAAGGCTATCCATAGTGGGGGTAACTTAGGTAGTAACTTAACACATCTCAAGACAATTTTGCTTATGTGGCAAGTATTTAATGAGGAGAGAGGTGCTTGGAGTAACATAATATGTTACTGTAACATAGCGCTTCCCGAGGTAAAATGAGTCTATAAGACAATAAATGAAACAAACTATGTCACTACTACTAACATACTTTGCACTATGGGGGCAGTAACTTAGACTAGTGTCATGCATATGACACTAGTCTAAGTTACTCCCCACTATGACCAGCCTAATCAATGACGCCCACCACTGCCAAAGGTTATGACTTCAAGAAAAAATCTCAAGGTCTGGTCAGTTTCGAGAAGGAACTTCTCACACCAAAGCAAAGTGAGGTAGCGAGAGGAGGGGAAGCAACATATGTAGGGGAAGAAGAGAAATGAGGGAAATGTTTAATCAATGTTGTTGCAAAGGTCTTTCCTGATGATCGTCTGGCCACGAGGAGTAAAGTTAGCTCAACTATATATCATCATGTTAGCCTGAAATGTAGTCATAAGTCAGTGGTAGCAGTTAAATTAGTTAAGTTGTGGCATTAGTTAAGTTTGTTAAGTTGTGGCATCAATTGTCTAGGTATCAGTCAGTTGGTTAGGTTTGTTCAACATTAGTGGCTTTAGTTCAGGCTAGTGTTTATATTTCAGGTTAAGTTGTTGCGTCAGTGAGTTGTGTCACCCTTTTCAACGAAATGAAGCATTGCACCGAACTAAGTGTGAACATTGGACAATTAAATAACACTGCAAATGTTTTCACATAATCTTGATCACATAAACTAATCTGCATATCCAAAAGTACGTACCCATAAGTTACATTCGGATGTTAAATTGAATCACACCAAACTCATAAGCTAATTTGCATACCGAGAAGCTAAACTGAATCACACCAACCTGATGCTAAACTGAATCATACCCAGAGGCTAATTTGCATATCACAAGCTAATACTTAGAAGCTACATTCTCACTATCTTGACCACACCAAACTCATACAAAACCTGTTATCATCAAAGCGACAACACCATATATAACTGTAGAACAACAGACCACAAGGACTAAACTGATTTCCCTTCTCTCCATTGACTTCTTATGTTTTTTCTTGTGGTTCGTGATCATGGGTTCTCTCTTCCTTCATCCTTATAGTTGCAGCATCCTTCTCAAACATAGAGTTCGGCAACAAACAAAGTTCTTCAACAAGTTTGCCAATCACGGTCCTAGCCCTCTCCTGCCACTCTAGGTCCACCCATTCGAGATAACCACATGCCTCATACTCCCACACAAATATAGCACACATTTCATAATTTTGCAACAAAACAGTTCATGACAAAGTAATGTACACATTTGCATCTCAATTATTGTTTGTTTTACTCACCAAAGGGGGCCGATAAGAAATCTACGACCAAAACCATAGCCTTCATAACAAACTCTACAAACTTGATTCATATAGTGGGAACATGAGACGCTCTACAAACTTAGACCGAGGTACACTCAAGTCAAACTGAGGGAGGGTTTCTGTCCCCTACATATCCAAAATGCTACATTTCATCATTTTTGCCTCGCCATTGAACTACTACACCAAATCCATGACAAATGGGTCATAAGATGACAAGTGCACACACCTTATAGGAATCACCATCCATGTAGCGCACCTTGCCGGTGATCTCTGTCCACTGCTCTTCGTCCTTCGCCTTGTCGGCGCCGACGAGGCCACACCCGACGAGCGGAGGAGGTTGTCTTGACAACGACGCCGCCCCTTCATGACAGTCTCTGGCAAGCTCGTTGCCCGCCGCCATGGAGCCCTTCATGTCTTCGATGACGATGAGGGCAGTGGCGCCTCCACTCAATGAGGGCTAGGGATTTAGAAATTGGGGAATCTGGCGTCGCGAGCTACGAATTTGTAGTTTTACGTCTTGCTGCCTGGGAACCTTACGTAATTTTTTCATACCATTGGGGGTGGCAAATACCACCTGTCTGCGTGTGGCAAATGTCGCGTTGTGAACATTTTGTATGAAAATGAATCCTCATTAGAGTTGAGGGGCTACTGTGCTGGGGGTTTGAAGTTCTTGTACGAATATGTTCAATCACCACAAGTTTATATGTACTAAAACATGTATCAATAATTATTATAATTAGGGAAATGCTCGGCCTGAGTCGGCGGATTGCACGCGGATGTCCGTCGCCTCATCCGTGCTACGTGTGACCTGCGTGGACTCGCCTAGCATTATCTCTTGCGCTTTTGCAACTGAGCCCTTCTTGCAGTTTACCACCACAACAACTCGTACATTGCAGGATTCAAATCGCGGCGCGGCCGAGGTACCCCACAACCGCTTCTGCTCTTCCTCTCGCTCCACTCGCCGCGCTGCCTCATCTAACCGCGTCGTCCCTGTGAGGTCACCGGTGCCAGCCTGAAGCTCCATGCAAGGGATCGGGCTCGCCCGTCGCGGGACTCCGCCACCGCCGTTGAGCTGTGCACGGCCTCCACCGCCGGATCTACTCATCCCCATCCCTTCTCCGTACCTCGCCGTTCCTCCCACGTCACCGGCGTGCCGCCGCCGTGGACCAGTTCACCGCCTCTCACTCCTTGAGCCTCTACATCACCTACATCTAGGAGACGCCACCTCCCCGTGGGTTGCCTCCTCGCCCAGGGAAAAAAAATCTGCAACATCACCTTTGTTACAAAATTATTTCCGCAACAAGACTGTTGTTACAAACAAAAAATCCACAACAAGTCCTCCATTGCAAAAACAAAATCTTGTTGCGAAAAAAATCTGCGACAAGATATTTGATGCAATGGAGACGTCAATCGTCTGCACAATCGGCCAGATTTGACTGCTCGTAACCGAATCAATATTTTTAAAAAAATCAGCCGGCGGACACGTAGCACGCTTTTTATAATTAACTGTTTTGTACTCTAAAGAAAAAACAGTTTAGTTTCAAAAGAAAATCTTGGGGGGCGTGTTTCCTTTTGATGACGCGAAGAGGTTGAGGGTCCGGCCTCACGTTGTTGCTACCTTGGCTTTAGGGTACAGCTTAACGTCCCCTGCCGTGCCATCAACCAGAGTCTGTCCGGCGAATTCGCCCACCACGCCGTGTCGTGCCGGGCCTCTACAGCTAGTAGTAGATGCGACCCAAGCCACCGCGGGTCTCACTGTTGGCAACCGACGCCGTTCCTCCCGGCCGGCCCGTGCCTATCCCATCAGAGTCCATCACCGCACCTGCACCGCAGGCTTGCAGCTAGCTAGTGGAACGAACGACCCACCTGCACTGCAGTCGCGCCGCATGGCTGCTGCCTATGCCTTGCCAACAAATGGTGGGATCCGAGGAGACGGATCACTTTCATGTGCCCACTTTAGTTTACGTACGTACCCGTCGTCGCATCGACTCTCGACTGGCTTTGCCGTTGGTTCGCTGCATTTGCCCGGCGCTGCGCCACCCTACCCTACCCATGTGCGGCAGTGGCCAGTATGGCTACCCCGACCCATGTGCCAAAGTTAGAGCCGCCGAGGCGCCGACGAGGTGACCCGATCACGCGCCGTCGAGCGTGATGGTGCTGTATGGTATGGATACAGACCAGCTTGCTGACATCTGTAGAATTTCAGGTCTAT